GTTCTCATGTTACTTCCTCTTGCTCTCCATATTTCAGCCACCCTGATCTAGTTAATATACCATGTTAAACATGCCCTCCCTCGTCACCTCAACCTCTTGGAGTTCCCAGCTCTCCATATCTCTATATCTCAGGGCCAAGCACGGCATCTGGCATAGAGTAGACATTTAAGAAATGCTTATTGAATATGACAAGAACTTAAGAGAAGAATAAAGTGTTATGTGTGATCCTGGGAAGCAAAAAAAAAAAAAAGTATACTTCTAATGGACAGAATCCTTTTGTTATAACAGAATTCCATCTTTTAGGCCATATTCTTCCAATGTGTCATATGCCTATGATTAATGGAATTACCGCTGTCTCCAGAAGGCAAATGGAGAAGGACATGGTGGGCAGGAGCAAGTTGCAACATATTTCCAACCAAAAAAATACCATGGAGAAGAAGATGGTGACCAGGAAATAAAAGATGGTCTCATCATGTAGGGAGAGTGAGGGATAAGCTATGAATAGACTGAGTGCTCCATGGGTATTGATATAATGTCAAGAGAGCTGAAGAAAGTGCCTCGGCATGTTGAGTCAATCAGTCTGTCAATCAATAAACATTTATTAAGCACTTATTATGTGCCAGGTGCTGTGCTGAGCCCTGGATCAGACCTTGGGGAGGTTTGATGACAGAATGTGGATGGCATTTACATAGTATGGGCAGGCAGGGATGGGTGGCACTCTGTGTGTCTGGAGATATTACAGAGATGAGAGGACAAATCCATGGAGATTCCAGTGTCAATAATAATAACAATAATAGCTAGCATTTATATAGTGCTTAGAGGTTTGCAAAGTGCTTTACAAATATTGTCTCATTTTATCCTTCTAAACACCATGGGAGATAGGTGCTATTATTATCCCCATTTTACAGATGAGGAAATCAGGCAGATGTTAAATGACCAATGTCACATAAGTAGGAAGTATCTGAAGCCAGATTTGAGCTCAGGTTTTCCTGACTCTATCTCCCACACTCTGTCTAGTGTGCCTCCTGCACAGGTCAGACATAGGTCAGATTAAGGAAGGACAGAGGGACCTAAAAATGATGAGACTGGGACCTCAAACTGTAGAGTTGGAAATTATTTTTGACAACACCTCATTCTTCTCATTTTATAGATGAGAGTTAAAGGTCAAAGAGATTAGTTACCGATGGTAAGCTATACCATCTACTGGGCTTATTTTTAGTTTGGGTGGTTTTCAAAAAAATTTTTTTATAAAGTTCTATTGAGGTTTTTTTTTTTTTTTCGGTATCTGAGATGTTTTCTCATGTGCCTGTTCATGTAACAAAGAAAAGCAGCTAAACCAAACCACGCAACGAAATGACCCCATTTGACAGCACGTGTAGCACTTGGCTCCCATAACAGCCCAGCTCTCTCCCAAGAGGAGGGATGTGGGTCTCAACATCTCTTCTCCGGGACCAAGACTGGGCGTTCCAACTGATCTGAGTTCGGTGATTTCATAGTGTTATTTCCATGATTATTAACGTTAGTAATAATAATTGCTGCCGTTTACATAGTGCATTAAGGTTTACAAAGCACTTTACCTACACCTTCTCATTTGATATTCTTATTTTCATTCTCTTTCCTTTGCCCGGACCATTTTGTATAACTCGTGTTTCTCTGAATTCCTCACACTTGTCATTTTTCATAGCACAATAGGATTCCCTTACATCCATATACCACAATTTGTTCCTTCATTTCCCAGTGGAAGGGTGTGTACTTGACTTGCTTTTTTTTTTTTTTCCTACAAGCTAGTTAGTTTTAAACCACACTCATTTGTATCAAGGTGCGCCATGCCAGGAGTCTCAGCTGCTCTGTCTTGAAAGATATTTTGCATCCCCTTGTCTGTTGCCTGGGAGAAGGAGATAGCTTTGTCTTGTATCACCATCACTTTTAGTCTAGTTCTGATGTACTTTAATTAATCCTCATCTGCCATGAAGCATGGAGATCTTGTCAAGCTATATTAATATGGCCTCGCTCTGATTTTTTAAGAAGTCCCCACTGCTGTCAGGCATGCCGAATGATAAAGCACCCATACTTGAAGGCAGAATTGCTGACATTTTCCAAGAGGGAGAGGGAAGTGTGCCTGCATAGGATTTTCCTTTATATTTAGGGTGCTGTAAAAAATAAAAATGCCTTAGAGATTTCAGTGATGCTACTAGCATTTCCATCTGGTGCTAAGTTATGGAGAGTCAGATTTTGGCAGAGTATAGAGAAGAATTTTCTAATGATGAGAGCTTTCAGGACACGGAACCTGAGGAGATCCCGAGTTTCCCATCAGAACCCTCTAGCAGCAGCTAAGTAATTATTTGTCCAGGGTTAGTGTAATGTAACAAAGATTCCTCTATCAGGCAGAAGGTTGAAATAAAAGCTCTCTCAGGTCCTGTCTAGCTTGGAGACTCTATAATCTCCTAGGAAAAAAAAAACAATAAGAAAACCGATTATGGCATCACTTCCCCAATTTCCCAGCTCCCCTTTGCCCATAAGATTCTGACAACTACTCCCTGGCCCAGTTGTTGCCCAAACTGTTAAGAGAGAGTCAGGCATGTGACCTTTGTACAAGAGACTCCTAGCTTTCCTACTTCCTATCTATATGATCTTGAATCCTTAATCTCTCTGGGCCCTGGTTTTCTCATGGATAAGATGAGAAAGATGAACTAAATGATAATTTTAAGTTTCTGATCGATCCTTCAAAACTACTGTGGTCTCCATATTATAGTCAGTGTGTTTCAAAGATAGTAGGTGTTGAAGGTGGGATTTGAACTCAAGTCCTCTGGTTCCAGAGCCAGGCCTCTTATCACCGTATCATGCTGCCTCCCTGTTCAGTGGTCTTGCAAATATTTGACACCAAATGTAGCATGGTGTAGTGGAAGGAATATTTGATTTTGAATCAGAAGACATGAGTTCAAATGATAACTCTGCTATTTATACTTGTGTGACCTTAGGTAAGTCACTTTCCTCTTCTCTCCACCTCCACTCCCCTGCCCCCAACTTAGTTTTCCTTATGCATGAAATGAGAGGATTGGAATGTAGAATCTTTAAGGTTCTTTCTAGCTTCAACTTATCTATCCTCCTTTATTCCTCTGTAGGGGGTAAGGTTCTTATGAGAAAATGAACTAAACCTTTCTGGAAGGATATCAGTCTGAATGTTTGATAGAGCTGAATATCTAGAAGTCCTTCAGTCCTATGTGGAAACTGAAGACTCGTCATGAAAGCCTATGGTCCCTAGAACCCCCTTCTACAAGGAGGGGGTGCAATTCCAAGAAAACCCATTTTGGGGGGGGAGAGGGTTCCCTTCTGGAAATTTTTCTTGGTTTTTCCTTTGAAGAACTAGACAGAGAATATAAAATGAAAATGAATTTGCTTTGTCCTTGCCAGAAAAAGGGGTGTGGGGGGGAAAGCAGATGAAAAATGGAGGAGGAAGAGAGAAGTGATTTTAAAACAAGTTACAAAGTAGGAGACTTTTGAACTTTTTTCTGTTTATAGCCCTGTAAAGCCAAGACTTAAAAAAAAACCCCAAAACTATCTACTTTCAGATAATTGAGGCAAGAGTGGTTTATATCCACTGTGAATGATCTGGAAAATTTCTTGGTCAGTTTGTATATAGAATAGGCACAACTCCTAGGGCTCAATGTGTTTTCATGATGGGAAAGAGAACAGGTCTCCTTAGGATGCGCTGAGAATAAAAGGAAATAAGTACCACGTAATAACTAAAGGTCCTGCAGGGATGGTCAATGCAATTCAACAAGCACCTGCTATGTGCAGGGGTGGTACACAGTTGGTGATTTAAAAAAAATAGTAAACAAAGGGCCATCATACAGAAGAGGGACAAAACTCATTTTGCTTAGCCCCAGAGGCAAAACTAGGAGAAATTCATGAGAGATGCCCAGAATCACATTTCAGCTGAATGTAAGAAAACTATCCCTAAAAGTTAAGAGTTCTCCAGAAATAAAATGGGCTGTTCTGGGAGGCAGTGGGTTCCCCCTCAATGGAAGTTTTCAAAACAAAATGATCGGGCAGGGAGGTGGCACAGTGGATACAGCGTCAGCCCTGGAGTCAGGAGGACCTGAGTTCAAATCTGGACTCAGACACTTACTGTTGTGTGACCCTGGGCAAGTCACTTAATCCTGATTGTCTCCCCCCCCAAAAAACAGACAAAAGAAGAATGACTACTCGTTAAGTTTGTGTTCTAAAGGGCATTCGTATTCAGCTATAGGTTGGACTGGTTGATTTTCAAAGTCCTTAACCATGATGATATGAAATGATACTTTCTCGTGTTCTTTCTCTATGTAGCTCTTCTGATCATGTGCCTGAGTTTTTGCTTTTGGTTTTCCCTTCTCCCCTTCATTTGCTGAAGACCCTCATTTGTTTGCATGTTAATGTGAGAATATAACCTGTGTCAATGTTCTTTTATCTCAACTATAGCATAAGTTCAGGCTTTTTTGTGTTGTTGTTTTATAATGGGAGGTCACTACTGGCCTTTGTCAAATTTCCCAGAAACTTATTCATTGCCCCCCAGAAGCTACTCTCACTTTTTCCCTTCTCATTTCACATTTATTTCTTACCCTTCACTGCTCAGAGTCCAATATATATATGCACACATATGTATTTATGCATATATATGTGAAGGTATGTATGTATGCACATGCGTGTGCATGTGTGCATAGTTTTGGTTAGCCCACTTTAATCCAGATTTCAAGACTGCCTGCAGTCCCTGGAGGCATCCCCATCCATACCTGCCCTTGGCATCTTGGAGAGGCTGTCTCCTGGAGTGCTTGAAGGGAAGTGATTAGGCCAGGTACTTGACACTTGACACTTGACACTTTCCCTTCCTGGGCAATTAACTCAAGAGGCTTTAGAGGGAAATCGGGACTAAGAGCAAAGCTGATATTGATGTAAGCATTTCTGTCTTAACCTGCCCTCTGGTTCTGTAGCTGAGGATAACAACTTAATTTATTCATTTACAGCTTCTTTTATTGCAGAAAAAGGAGTGGACCTGGGATGAGAGCAAGATGCTGGTGATGCAAGACCCCATCTACCGGTAAGAACGCTCTGTGTGCCAATGGAACCCAGATCCTTTGGCATGGGAGAAATAGGAGGTTTCCAGAGTAGCTTATTCAGTCACTTTACATTGCTTCCACTGTTTTTCTTTCCTGAGCTCTATTCCTTCTTCTGGATCTGTCTTTCCAACTGAAAGTAGAAAGAGGAGACTCCACTTTATCATATGGACAAGGGAGGAAGGCCATTCTTGTCACTAGGTGAATTGATCCATCTAAACATTATTACATACTCTCCATTCCTTAAGTAGAAAGATGCTTGAGGGGCCATCCAGTCCATGCCCTTGTCTCAAATTCACATTAATTTTTTTTTATTGATTAATAGATGTCTACTACATATCATGGAGTATGCTAGGTACTAGGGATAAATTCCTGCCCCCAAAGTTTACAGTCTTCCAATTCATGCCCCTGTCTCAAATTCACATTAATTTTTTATTGATTAACATATGCCCACTACATGTCATAGAGTATGCTAGGTGCTAGGGATAAATTCCTGCCCCCAAAATTTACAATCTTGGAGGTAAGATAACTAGAATATAAGTTTAAAATGTGTAGGAAAGGTCCAGAATGAGTAGTGTGACATGGTCTGACACATATGAGAAGGAGGAGATCACCTATTTGGGTGATTCAGGACAGGCAGACATCTGCTCTGAACTTTGGAGAAGAGGTCAACTGATGGGAATATTGTCAGAAAGCATCCCAGCATTGGCGGGGGGGGGGACAGGGGGAGGGGGTGAATGGCTAGCACGTGTAAATTACTTAGAGGCAGGAAAGGGCTAACCGTTGGGATATGGAAAGTTGTCTGCTGTGGCTGGAACATAACCTATAAGGAGGGAAATGGCACATGAGTATACCAGAAAGGCAAATGGAAGCCAATCATGGAAGACCTCAAATGCCAGGCTAAGGAATTGCTATTATTTTCAGTAGGTAATGGGGGACCACTGAATTTATTTTTTAAAAAATTTAAAAAAAACAGGAATGATGCTGTCATATCTGTGTATCAGGAAGATTACTCTGGCAAAGTGGTGGGATGGAGTAGAGACTTCTTTGCAGAGACATGGACCATATTGTATATAATGTTGGACTTGGTTGATATGCTGGTTCTTTTTGATAATTTTTTCCCCCTTTTTTGTTCTTTGTTATATGGTATGACACTGAGAGGGGAAGAGGGGAGGATGTACTAGGAAATGTAGGTGATCTAAAAATACACACACAAAATAATGTTAATGGATTAGGCAATCCAAAAAATAAGCACAAAAGATAAAATGCTAAAAATTAGAGGAGAAATAGATAAATTGGAAAAACGAATTAGGGAGCAACTTCTTTGAAAAGGCTAACAAAATTTAAAAACCTCCATGTGAGAAAAATATTTTTATCACATATTTCCAATAAAGATATGATTTCTGAGATATACAGCCAACTAACAAATATATAAAGATAGAGAACACTCCCCAGGAGATATACGGTCAAAGCATATAAACATACAATGCTTAAAAGAAGGGATTGCACACTATTAATAACCATATGGAAGGATGTTCCAAATCACGAATAGTAAGAGAAATGCATATCTAAACAATTCTGATGTTTTGCCTCACTTTTGCACTCAGAAAATTGGCAAAGATGACAAAAATGGAAACAGTTGAAATTGGAAGACTTGAGGAAAAACAGGCACATTAATGTATTGTTAGAGTACTAGGTGGATCTAACCATTCTAGAAAGAATGGTAAGAAAGTGACCATGATGTCCATGGACTAAGACTAGAGCTTGTTGGAGAAGTCAGGCTAGATATGATAGATCTGAGAGTTATTCGTACAGAGATGATCATGGAAGCCTTGGGAGTGAATATCTTAGTATAATAGAAAGAGTGAGGAGACCTAGGTTCCTATCTGCCCCTTGAAATTAGCTGGGTAACCAGAGGCAAATAAATAATTTAACCTCTCTGAATCTCATTTTCTTTGTCTTCAAGGAGAGGGATGCTAAGGGCAGCTAGGTGGCACAGTGGATAGAGCACTGGCCCTGGAGTCAGGAGGACTCCAGTTCAAATTCGGCCTCAGACACTTGACACTTACTAGCTGTGTGACCCTGGGCAAGTCACTTAACCCCATTGCCTGCCCCCCCCCAAAAAAAAGAAGAAGAAGAGGAATGCCAATATCACCTATCACTTTCATCACAGGATTGTGGTAAAGAGAACACTGTGAATTTTAAGGACTATCTATATTTGAGTTTCAGTTTCTTCCTTTTGGTGTTTATTCTATCCTTACCACTTTGAAAATTGCCCTCTGTAAGGAAGAAAGTAAAGAATAAAATACAAATCAAGTCATTCTGACATCAAATGGTGTCACAATGCTGCCCCTTTTTTTTCTGGCTTTTCTTCTTGAGAGACCCTTGTTCTGTCCCTACCAAATCACTGAGAGAGTGAGGAATTCTGTTTAGATGATTTCTAGGAATCTTATGATCCATTATGCCAAGGATTACAGTAACAGAGAAGCAAAGAACATTTTTGACCAAAGAAACAAAACGAATCTGATCTGAAGTTCCCAGTGGCACCCATCACTTATTTTGCGAAGGTGCCTGCTGTCCACATAGCCAATTTAGAGCTAGCTGTGGGTTAGTTATGTCTAGTTTGGAAGGCAATATTCCCAACAGATAGCCAGGAAGCCCCTAGAATAGGTTTGATTAATAGCACATAGTAGGCGCTCAGCAAACATTTGCTGATGAATGAATGTCCAAAAAACTGTTGTTTTAATTATTATTGCCTGGGAATCAGCAGCTCTTTGCTTTTATTGTCTGACCAGCTGACCCCTAGTTTAGTTTCGAGTCAGTCGGAGACATACTGTCTAGATCTCAAGTGATGTCCAGTGTTTAAAGCAAATATTCTTATTCATCCATTTATTTAATCCTTTTATTTAATATTTGACTTTCACCATAGGAAAATTTCAAGTCAAATGTCAAAACCAAGCAACTGAGTTTTAAAGCAAGCATGCAAATGAATGAAGTCCACCTTTCTGTGAATTACCTAGAGATCGATGGATTCATTCCCTGAATGGTGGTATTAGGAGGTTTTTGTCTCCAGATGTTAGGCTGCCCCAAGAAACTTGATCCTCAGAATCTTTGTTGCATAAGTCACATGATTCAGGATGATCAGAAGAGCCTCGTGACTTCCTGGTGACACACTGGTGTGGAGGCCTGGGGCACAACCTTCAATTTGCCTTGTGGAATATTCAGTCTTCTCTTGCAAAGGTCTGCATTCCCCTTCTGCCATATTGATAGTTCAGTCCTGAAATTGAACATGTCCAATGGGAGGAAAAATCATCTTTACTTTGAAGAAAAGAAGTCTGGAAAATAGGCTACCCTGACTTTTCTCACTATGGCATGCAGTCTTTCTGTTGCCAGCTAATTTGCTCTCTTTTGGAATAAAGATAATCGTATTCCCCTTCTCCCTGCCTAGGGGTGGAGCCCAGGGCAGTACTAGAAGGGGTGACTGGCTAGGAGGTTTCTAGAGCTCTGAGGGAGATTTTCTTAGTGTACATTATGGTACTGTGGGGTCAGCTATGAGTAAGGCGTCCTGAAGGGTGTGGAGCATAAAGACAGGTTGTACATTCATTTATTTAATGGATGAACAGGCGTGGCTATTTAACAGAGTCTGAGAAGTCCTAGAGGAAAACAGGCAGGCTGTAAAAGTAATGCGATGTGTGCTGTGATGGAGTATTACTTATCCGGTTGTCAAACACAAAATCAGGGAAGGGCTAGGAGCAAAGACTCAAGTCAGTACCCCGTGGCAATGTAGCCAGCTATGAGGAGTCAATAGGAACTGAGGGGAGTAGGCAGAATCAGTCAGTGAAGGACAAATATAAGGGTCAAGTAAATAGGTTCAGAGAAAGGTGAGCCAAGAGTTTCTCATTTGTCATGTTCAGTGATTAAAGTGTGCCTACCACTTTCTAAACCAAAACTTGCAGGGCTAGGGACAGGTAGGGGGTGCAGTGAATAGAGTGCTATGCCTAGAGTCAGGAAGACTCATCTTGCAGAATTCAAATCTGGCCTCAGACACTTACTAGCTGGAAAACCCTGGGCAAGTCACTTAACCTTGTTTGCCTCAAATTCCTCATCTGTAAAATGAGCCAGAGAAGGAAATGGAAAACCACTCTTGTATCTCTGCCAAGAAAACCCCAAATGGGGTCATGGAGAGTCAGACATGACTGAAACGACTGAACAAGAAACAGCAACATTCAGGGCTAGCCTCACCTCCCTGATCATTAGATGACTTACAGCTGTGTCTTCCTCATCATCCCTGCCATCTCCTAAATGAGAGGCAGCTATGTTCAGATGGTGGTAGACAAAGAATGATTTTTGGAGACTTTCCCATTCAAAGTTACTGTTACCTCAGAAGTTTGATAAACAAAGTTTGATTCACTCATTCTTCCAGTTGTTATATTGGCCAATTGACTCTGAAAGCAGCTATACCATTAGAATTTACCATTCATTCTTCAATTGAATGTCATTATTGAGTAGCCACTGTATGTTTGTAGGCTGTGGGGAACCCTCTGTCCTAAAGAAGCCTGCAGTTCTTATGAGGAAGACAACGAAGATATACGTAAAGTGAATAAACATGGAACAACCAGAGAATATTCCAAGACAGCACACAATAAAGAACTGAGAGGAATATAATTAAGAAACTTGTAAGAGACCATTACTGTGCTATAAGAAATGATCAACATGATGAGTGCGGAGAAGCCTGGGAAAACATATAAACTTATGCAAAATGAAGTGAGCAGAACCAGGAAAGCTGTTTTTACAACAATGTCAATGAGACAATTGAATCTGTATGTTATAGAAATTATAATGACCAAACCTGACCCCAAAGAAGAGTTATGAGAAGACAGTTTCCCCTCTTCTCCCACTCCTCCACCTTCTTTACATGGATGTAGAAGGCTACATATAATGTCAGACTTCTTCAGTGGTTTGGTTTTGCTGCACTGTTTTTCTT